TATTAACTATTCTTCTGCTTTGACACTTAGTTATATCCTTATATTTAATATTAGGTTATTTGTACATATACTTCTTTCATCTTTATCCTTTTACTTTAAGGTCTTTAGAACAGGGACTGTATATATCTCATGTGTCTATTATCTTTCTTGTGACTAACCTTGTGTCTTCTGAGTACATAGACAGGACGATAGAGAGACTCAGACAGGTCTGGTTTCACATGATAGCTCTGCTACTAACTTGCTCTGTGACATTGGGGAAGATACCCAGCTCTGTTTTAGCCTTGGGTATTTTATTTATAAATTGGGGATAATGATAAATCTGTCTCACAAAATTATTAGAAGAATTAAGTGAATTATGTCGGCCTCCTCACTGATATAGCTATGGAAAAAATATTGTCTGTAACTGAAGTACCAGTGTATACTTTATATTTCCTAAATGATAGGCTTTTTTTTTAATTTCAGAAATCAGATCATACAGACATTCTGTACTGTAATACAAAAAGAAGACAAGAACTGAAAAGGTAAATTTCCCCTTTTTCTTATCTTTTTACTTTTTTGATTTAGAATTGTGAGACTAAATATTTAGATTTGAAAAATCCTTTATTTGCTTTGATTAGTACTGTTTTGCATGCAGATATCTCTAGCTATATCACAGATTATGATTATTGACTTTTTAAAATATTACTGGAAATTTAAGAAAAAGTTGAGTAGAATAAAAGTCTATCAAAATATCAAAACTCTCTTGTGTAAATGACACTGAAATAAAATGTAGATTTTTATCTCAAGTGATTTGATTTTGGCACATGATTATAAGGTACATAACTTCATTACATATGCTAGTGAAAGAAGTTATGAGGCTAATTTAGAAATTTTGGATAAATCATTTTTATATATTACCCATAATCATTTTTATATCTTACCTGTAAAGACAATATATTTCTTATTGAATTGATATGGCTCTAAAACATGTTAATTAACCAGCATGTAGTTACAACTAGAGAACTTGGGGGAATTATGGTAGAAATAATGGAAATTATTTTC